ACAAGCTTACATTTACTGCTTTAGTTCGTTCATTAACTCACTATCTGTGGTTCTTGTGTTGTCTGTTTACGCTGTAGTGAGTTAACAGTCAGTAATAAATGTGCAAACATCTGAGCCGGATGTGTCCTGCGTTTGCTTTGCTTTGTCTGATTGCAATTTGCGTTGTGACTATAATTAGCTCTATACAGCGGCAGTAACGATTATACACCATCACAGATTAGACTTCTGTGGAGGAAGGCCTCTGTCCCCTCGTAGGTTTAAATACCTTTGAAAAAGAAGGCCTCCCCTCGTATTTGGGCCACGGCGTCGAACTGGCTGGTGCATCTGTCCGGGGCATCTCGCGCCAGCCTGAGAGAGATGGATGAGGCAGGAGGAAAGTTGGAGGAAGGACAAAAGGAAAGTTTTAGAACTGAGAGAGAGGAACGAAGACGGAGGTGTAAAGACATCACATCCTGAGCACAGTGTCCGACGTTACATCTCCTCCTCCCATAAAACAAAACAAACCAAAAACAACAGCCACTGAGACACGGAGTTCATGGAAACAGATCCCGTTTGAAGCCATTTGCATCCAGAAAACAGCAGCGCCGCTATAATTGCACTCACCTACTGAGCGACTCCCAACGTGTGCACGCACGCACATGTGTTTCCTTCAATTAAATAGGCTAAACATTAGGTGAAACGCTGCCACGCTGACACGCTGAGGTCTTCCAGCGCATTTATCCCCAAGGCTAATAAGTGAATTAAAGCTTTGACGTGGTCGGCCTGCCAATGACGGAGCCATTAGCACCACAGGCCCGCCACTGTGAGTGGGAGGCCGAGAGCTCTCGTGTTGTCAACAAAGATCTCTATTCAGAGGTCTATTAACAAGACGCCGCTGCCTAGTGGTCAGCATTTGTGACCCCTGTCAAGCATTATCTAGCTTTCGCCGGCACATAATGACCAGATGGAGGTGGCAGGAAAAAAAAACGGAGTAATGACGACGGCTGATACGAGTGATGGAAAGTGGGTTTTATATGCCTGTTTGGTTTCAAATTGCTGCTCGGTCTTTGTTTGAAAGCGTGTGCAAGCGTGGAGGTCAGGAAATCTGAACACTCCCAAAGCAACCTGCCCTGTTTTCATGCCATTAATCCAAAAGGGTGACCAGGACAAGGGCGGCTGCTTCGTCTCGGCGGCGACAATAAACCGGAAAAAGTAACTCGTGAAAGGACACCAACAGCACTGTTCTATTAAATACATACACAGGAAATGACTGCCGTATATATAACGGATAATTGATGGGTGAATTAATATCGCCTCCACATAATGACACTATTAGGAAACACGTTATGAAGATTTAATTGGATTACCTTTGATATTACTCCTTATACTTACTTTCAGTGAAGAATTACGAGGCGTCTGTTTGTCTTTCCTCTGCCGGTTTAAATTAGCCGGCCGGCGGACATGCAGATTATTTACAGCAACATCCATTAACTGCACTAAAGCTAATATACGCCAAATTAGATTTAGTTTTCCCGAAAAAAAAAAGCTGCTCTCTAATGTTTCTGCGGTCAACTTGAACGTCCAGGACGCCTGCCAGAAACTCACTTAATATCTGAACATAGCTGCAATTAGGTTGTTTTTATGAATTAAGTCTTCGTTTGTTCCCAAGATTATAAACTAGGTGGAATAATGGCGGTCGGTTTACGCGCAGTAAGCAGAAAGAATATAGGGTGAGTTAATCTTAAATATTAAATTATAGATATATTACTGCTACATCTGTAAAAGATAAAGCATTGAGTTGTTTTAATTAGGTGTCATAAATACGTGTCCTGGCATTTGGGACGAGAAATCGATGAAAAATTCGGGATGTTATGATGATTAGTTGGATAAAAGTTCTGCTTCCACAACAACCGTGAAGTAATGAAGAAACACACCAATAAAAAACCACCTGAGCTGTAATTGTACGTGTGTTTAATTACACTAAGTGGAAGAAATAATGGAAAATGTCTGACATGTGCTTTCTTTTAAGGTGAGCTTTGTAAATATCACTAGTTGACGTCTGCATTATGTATTGTTTTTGGTAATGTGTGCTCAAAAATGGGATTTTTTGAGACGTTTTTCTTTTTAACTCGCGCAGAAACATAGAACTTGATCTGCTCGTTTAATTGCATTTCTTCTGAATTAATATCCCGATGAGATAGAACGGTAAAATACAAATGTCCGGCTTTTATCTTTAATAGATCCTGACTTTCAAATGGAAAAAATGTGGGTTGATAAGCAATAAAAAAGGGGAAAAAAGATCTTGGTCGTTGATATATCAGCTAAAAATGTTTAAATATCTATATTTATATTTTGTGCTGTGTAATTTTGAGGCAAATCAGAGATTGTTGAGCAGAAAAAATTCAATGATTTAAGGTCGAGTGTCTCACAAGTGCTTTGGATTCATATTTTATTATTTAACAGCATATATTTTGCTTACAGTGAGGCTGCAACTAAAAAATATTACTGTTGTAGATTAAACCGCCATTTGATTTCTTAATTATTTGATTAGTTGTTTGGTCTATAAAACACGTTGACCAGTGTTTCCCAGAGACCAAGAGGACGTCACCAAATGTCTTGTTTGATCTACATTTGTGTGAGAAACGTCCTTGACTTTCTAATAAACCAACACAGAGGTGGTTGAGAAAATATTCACATTCATGAAGCTGGAATTGGAGAAGTTTGACCTTCTTGCCTCCAAAAATGATTTAAACTAATTATCAAAATAGTTGGCAATGAATTTAACAGATGAATTAATTACTTTAGCTCTGGTTTACGATGACATATTGACATATTGGTGTACCTTGAAATATTTATGTTAAATAACACGTTTTTATGTGATAATATCAGAGCACTGTGGGAGGTAAACACAACCAGGCTGCTGTTTAGTTCATTACTGGTCTAAACGTGTTGGATAGAATTAATCTGTCATGTTTAACCTGCTCATACTGGAAACAGAAAAGCAGACATTGCTTTAAAAAAATAAAATCAAATTACTGGGATTCTTCCAGGATAAAAAGCACAATTTTCTCTGAAACTGAAATCGCCGTCCGCTGTCCTCCATTAAACAGAACGGGCTCTTCTCATTGGAACGTATTATTTTCAATCATACCACAAATGAAAGTAGCATCTGCAAAAATAATGGGACCCTTAAGCTAATACTTTGTGGAGCACCTGCTTCAGACGATCGCTGCCATTGTTTTGTTAATGAGATCCCTCAACTCGTAGTTTGGCCTCCTTGTCTTCTTCAGCCGAACCGTATTTATCGGGGGTTTCAGATCTTTCCATAGATTAGGAAGCAGATCAGTGTTTTCTTCTCATCCATTCTTGGTGCTTTTAGTTCTTTGTTTTGCCCACAGCTGGACCTTGAGGTTGGAGGTCCGTCTTGAACTTTTCCTACCATCACAACTCTCCTTCAGTTCGATCCGGGTTTCCTCTCGTGGCCATGTCGAGGATGGTTGGCCCAAGGATCTACAACTTCCTAATCGTATTAGTAGAAACGGTCACAAAAAGAAAAACCCACACTGAGGCGGTCTCGTGGCCTTTACCTTGACAATACCGTGCAATTATTTTCTTTCTTACCTCCTCTGACAACTCTGTTCTCTCCTCTCTTGTCCGGTGCACACAGCGATACCAGACTGACATAAAAAGCACCTGTGATTATTCTGCTTTAGAAAAAACTCCCACTGCAATCTACATATAAATCACCACTTCTAAGGGGTGCATAGAAGTTTTAAAAGTCATCGCATAACAGCGTAAGCCTCTTTGTTTTAGTCCTTCCTCTGCCTCAGTGAAGTGAAGGATACCGACACTTTTGATGGATGGTCCCGGCGATTTAAAAATAATGCCACAAAGCAAAGCATTTTCTGGCGCGGTAAGATACAGTAGCGCAGCATGAATCATGGGAAATAATGGACAAAAGACTTCTGGATCCAGGTCATCGCTCAAACTTCACTCGCCGTTCATGCGCCGTGCTGTCTGGTGAACACGCAGCTGGAAAGACTAGATAGCGTCGTTCTGAGCAATGAAACGGGACCCTGCACGAAGATTCATGGTCCTCAGAGGATGAGTTTTATGTCTCATCCTCCCCGTCGTGCCGCTCTCATGCCACGGTGTCAACCGGACCATCCACGGAGGACGAATCTTAATAAGATCTGAAAATATCCTCCATCCACTAATTATATTTCTGCTCCAATTACTGGTTGTTTTATTAATTTTGACTCATATGATCTGCCCCTCCCATGCCTCCGTAAGGACAAATGATGAATGAACATCCAGATGGCCGTGGAATTTCTAGTCATCACGGCCACGGAGGATGAAAATTACTTATTGGTGGTGATCCGCTGGCCTTTAGCAGCGGCGCACTTCCTTGAGTGGAAATGAAGAGCCGGTAAGTGTAATGATTTCATGATGTATATGGCACCCTTGAGGCACATCTTTCTCATTTTTTCTTTGAGGTGTTCTCGAGCAGCACTCTCATGCCAGATGTATATATATATAACATCTTTATGGAAATGGATGGAAGCACTATGAAGTATCCAAACATGATGGTTTGGTCGGGAAATATGTCCACAGAAGAAATATATACAGTAGAACCTGAGCAGACATGGCTGGAGCTGATGGAAGGAGTTATGGATAAGCAGCAAACATGGATAGCTGTAAGTAGAGGATGAAATACAGTCGTGACTCGATAATCTGACACTAAATGTAAAACCTTCTTCTATGTCGGATAGCAAGACTGTCGGATTGTCAAGACGGAGGTCCAGATACAAGGAGGGCTTGATGCTGGAAGGCTCATTAGTTGCTAATATTTAGAGTTGTTATAATAGCTCGTGTATTGTTAGAACACTACGCATCGCTGGATTTCAGGCCATATTGACCAGTGTGATTGTGCACGGGCCTGTCGGTTGACATCAAAGGTAAATACATTCAGACAGCAGGCTGAAGTGACCCAGATCTGATTTTATTTTCTCCTATGTGACCTGTATCTGATCCTTTCATGACAGTCTGAACAACACAGATCCAATTAATGATGAATATCCGAGTATTGAGCGCGGTCGGGGGGACACTAGTGTATTGCTCCGACAGGGTTGGAATCCAAGGCTGTCGGTATGTTAAGTCTGTTTTTACGGGTTCCGTTCATTTTTCCTAACAACCTGTCAGATAGCAGGTTTAGGATTGTCAAGGGTCAGATAATCGAGTCATGACTGCAGTTATAAGTAGAGATGCACGATGTATCGGCGACCACATCGGTATCGGCCCATATTAGTTTTTCCCATATATCGGTATGAATGATCAAATTTAGCTGATGTGAAAAAATGATGATTGTCTAACATCAGCGCCTTCGTCTCTACATTTGCTGCTATTTCACAGATGTTTTTACTTAAATGGTCCTCTAACATTAAATATGTTAAAATATGTTTTACTTTTGTAATAAATTTGGTCTAAATTTCGTCTAATTTGGGCTTCTTTTGAATAGTTTCCACGTTCTCATGGTGCTTACTTTTAGTCATTTTTCAGTCAGAACAAAAGTTGAATATCGACATCGGTAATATCAGTTATCGGCGATATCAGAAATCTTACTATCAGATATCGGTATCGGACAGAAATATCGTGCACCACTAGTTAAAACGACTAAAACAGAAGTAATATGTGATGAGAAAATCCAGCTTCTTTCACTCCAAGTGGTGACAGTATGACTGCAAACTGACCGATTAGTTAAACAACATGCAATTTAAAATAAACTCAAATAAGCTCATTTGGAGCTCAATGTGTTGATGATGGAATCGAACTGGCATGTCTCTGAGAGTACATAAACCTACAAACACTGCTGTACTACGGGCACCACACTGCAGCATTTAGGGGCAGCAAGAGAGTTTTTTTTTGTCCTTACTGTGTTCATCTATAGGGAACGTTTAGTACACCTTCTGCTTCCACACATTTACCAAAGCACTGGACAGAAAGGCCTGAGGGAACCTGGGAAAGCAGGAACCATTACTATGAGAGACGGCCAGAAAAGGAGTAAACGCAGCACGATGAAGAGTTATTCATGAAGAGCTCGGAGTGGATCATTTGTGTGTTTGACTACCGTTGGCATTAAACAAAGAAGGACACCAGATGTCCTACTTACAGGAGCGTGGATCTGTTTTCCGGAAGGTCCAGCAGGACGGGAGGTTCTGCCGTCTGGGAGGGGTTTCCTGGCTGATTTGTGTGGGACACCGAGTCTCTGACTCCTGGGGAGGATAAATGAGATTACATTTCAAATGGACATATAAAAGACATTTAGCCTCTGAGCTACAGGAGGGTTTTTCTTACTGTGGCCTCTTTTTTTACTGGATTATAAAGTCCTGCTCCTCCACGGAAACATTTTTTGTTTCTTTACTGGATCTAGTTGGAGCCAAAACTTTTAATCAAAATAAACAGATTTTAATGAAATATCCCAATTTGGTGTCATATCACAGATGAACAGTCAAGAAGCGAAGACTGTCGATGTTTTCTATTTTTACAGTTTCTGGCTCTGATAAATAGTTTAATTTAAAAAAAAAAAAAAAGCTAACATGCCTTTGAAGCCAGTTAGCAGGTTCTGGCGTTCAGAGGGTTAAACTGAACAACTGCTTTATTTACACTCCGACTATTCAAATGAGCAGATTTGCCCAATTTTTTTGTTAAATATAATTGCCAATTATATCGTGCACCACTGTGTCTGGTCGGACCAAAACAAGCCATTTCGGGGGAATAATGTGGAGGATTTTCTTTCATTTCAAACAAACGTTTAAGTTACTGGAGACCAGATACGACCACTGTGCTGATTCTTCTCATTTTACATGACGGCACACATTTATTTCACCGTCCTGTCTGGTGTTTATCTCTAACTCAGTTCCATTCATCTTCCTCCACTGCAGTCCTGAACTCTTGCTGCACTACCTTCTCACCTTCACCATCATTAGTCTCTCCTCGGCTGCTCTCTACATCAGGGAATGATGTGATAAGGTCATGTGCCATAAAGAGGTCCAATTAACTCCGTCCATGTATTCATTAATCAATAACGCACATCGCTCCACTCTCTCCCCGTCCCGGAATCCTTCGTACCGTACAGCTGCCAGACTCTGACTTTGTCCTCGTAGGGCAGATCGTACTTCAGAGGGTCTCCCACCGGACCCTGGTAGTACGGCCTCATGATGGACTCGATGGCCGAGGTGTGGACCAGGCCGATGGCGTGGCCGAACTCGTGGACCGCGACCGCGAACAGATCCATCCCGTGGGTCTCTGAGGGAAGAAACAGTCGCCGTTAGGTATTTGATTGAGCACGTCTTCATGCGCTATTTAAGGCTTGCAATCGTAGTAAAGCACATTTGAACAGAGGGAATAAAACGCTCCCTCCGCTATCGGAAACGACTCCTTTATTTATTTAGGAGAGAATTCAATCAAAGAATTCTGCACACAGCAGGTTTTCTTTTTTCTGCCATCGTAGTAAATTACTTGTTCAAAACTAACCCTTTTGGGGCAGTAAAAGCGAACAATGAGGATTTTTTTTTACTTCACGAGACGGCGTTATTGCCTTTTTCTAAACACCTTGGCCGTATCACCCTCGGCTTTGATGGAGATCGCCCCTCACCGCTTAAAGTCTGTGATTTCTGCAGAACCAGCGCGGCGCCTGTTTGCATGTTTATCCCCCTTTTATGAGTGAACTCTATAGGTTGCAAGTTAAGAGGCATGACAGACAGCTCTGGTGGCTGTGAGTGCTGTTAGGAATGTGCTGTAGTGAGATAACTATGGTAATACCGCCTGAGCCCCTGGGCTGCCAATCAAAACCTAAGTGCGGAAAGACACCTAAAGAGGCTGCAGGCTATTAAAGCACATTTCCCTGAATGTTCGGCTAAAAAAGAAAAGGCAAAGCTTCCAAAAACTCCTTGTCTGGCTCTGCTAAGCAAGACAAAACCTCGGGCTTGGAGATTTAGATTTGCAAAAAAAAAAAAACGAGTGCTAGCATGTCGAGCCAAGCTAGCTTAGAGTTCCTCGGTGGCTGGGATCAAGGCTGCATTCTGTTAACCTTACGCCGGCCTCGACTTGGGAACATCTCAGCGCCGCCGCTCCATCAAAAGACAAAAGACAATTGCACTTGTCCTTACAACACCTGGGGTATTCAGCGCTAAATGCCAACTCTAATCTACTGGAGCACAAGGTGGCGAGGGGGAAAGGTGGATGAAAGGAAGGATCGAGGGATTCAGAACAAAGTAGGTACCGTGTCATCGAATTTACAGTCCATCTGAGGTTGACAGAGAAAAAAAGAAAACCACACCAGTGCCTGCGGACAAAGTCAGAGCCGAGAGATTTGGGTGGATGAACGAGATTCATTGGGTTAGACACCCATGACGGAAAGAAACAGAGAAAAGAAGAAATGTTTAGAGTAAACAGACAAGAGGCAAAACAACACGATCTGGAAGTGATATTTCTAAATGATGGGACTATTACACAGCAAATACACAACACATTAAGGGGCCCTCCGTCCTGATGGCACCACCAATCCAGAGCGCTACAAACACAGCTCGCAGCGTTTGGTTAAAAGTTTAATAAGGATGCTGTACAGTGAGGTAGACGGAAAGAATCAGGAGCACAAGTAGCCACGGGCGATCCTTTTCATCTGACGCGAATCAACTTAGCATTAAGATCTCGCAACGCCTCGTGACATAACAGCTCTTTCATCAAATTATAGTAAGCGCACAATAGTTTCTGTATGTTTAAAGCAGGTCAAAGTGCTGGAATAAAACAACATGTTCACTTCTCTTGATCTGTTAATATGAAAGGAGGAGAAATCAAAGTTTTTACTTAAAACCTCAGACAACTATTGATTTTCAGATTGAGTTTAACATTGTGCAAATCGTTGAGGATTGGAAAAGACCTCCAATACAAAAAAAATAATTAAAAACAGCCTGCTGTTTTCCTTTACAAGCAGCTTATTATGACCTGCAAAAAAAACAGTTTGTTTCTGAAACTCACAGTCAACATGTGACCGTTTCAAACCCGAGATGCATGTGTTACCTGCTGCCCGCTCCAAAGAGTGAGTTTAGAAGATAATCCAGGCTTATTTCCATTACATACTTTCAGGTTATGTTGGTTTCATAAAGCAAATTCAAAATAGTTCAAGCTCAGTTACTCTGGAAACTTGTGCTGGGAAAGTAAACTGGTACAGAGCAGGCTAACTGTCAGGCTAACTGTCAGGCTAGGTGTCAGGCTAGGTGTCAGGGTAACTGTCAGGCTAGGTGTCAGGCTAACTGTCAGGCTAACTGTCAGGCTTGGTGCCAGGCTAACTGTCAGGCTAACTGTCAGGCTAGGTGTCAGGGTAACTGTCAGGCTAGGTGTCAGGCTAACTGTCAGGCTAGCTGTCAGGCTAACTGTCAGGCTAACTATCAGGCTAGGTGTCAGGCTAAGTGTCAGGCTAGCTGTCAGGTTAACTGTCAGGCTAACTGACAGGGTAGCTGTCAGGCTAAGTGTCGGGCTAAGTGTCAGGCTAGCTGTCAGGTTAGGTGTCAGGCTAACTGTCAGGCTAGCTGTCAGGCTAACTGTCAGGCTAAGCCCAAGTTGTTGCTTAACCAGAGCTCCTGTAACATCGATCCGACAGGAAAGCCGGGATTATTCAACTGACTCTCTGGTGTTCATCCATATTGTTTGACTTTTCTATCAGTCCAAAAATTGAAGTTTACAGAAAATCAACTTAAATAAATAATAATTCAAATAAATGAATCAACAATAAATGATCAGATGTAGACATACGCATCTTTAATTATATGGTGTGTGATCTAAAACATCCCAACAGAATGACAGTAGCTAATAAATGTGGAAACTACATAAACAGTTAACACAGAAAATAAATAAAAAGGAGACAATGCTGATCAGAAATGTTGTATTTCAATTTAAAGGCCTCATGCCACAAAGTGAATGACTGTAGTATTATTTATTATTCTCAAAAATAGAAATGTGAACAATAGGGATAAGAACACAGGAGAGAAAATACGCTGAATTAATTTTATGTCACGATATTTCGTCGCCACTCTTCTGGATAACGATGTTAAGAATAGCGTGTTGGAATCTTCATTAGACGCAAACCTCCAGCATGAATCATAATTACAGTCTACATAGCAACGTAGCATACTAGCAATACCTTACTCACAGATCACACGTTTTATTTCACTTCTCTTTATTTATCCAATCAGGTTGTGTCAAAACATTTTAATCTTAGTAGCTGTCAGGATTGTCTTTCATTCATGGCAGTTTTTGGTTACTACACGTTTGGATTCTTTGCATGTTTCTCATCGTAAACGCTGTTCGGCGGCCATGAACTGCTGTTTGTCACCGCGGCTCCATCCGATGCACGCTCGACCTCTTGGTTAGTTAAGAATAGCGCGCACACGCAATTACCGTGACTACTTGAACCCGTATTGAATTAGCCTGATTGCTTGAACCTGAGCTGACCTTTACAGAATCGCTCCGGCCTTGATTGATTCGTCGGGTTCGCTCAAGTCATGCGTTGGACTTTAACTCTTCTCGGCGCTCTTTATAGAAAAAGCCTCCTTGAGCTTAACAAAGTTGTTTTCACGCCTAAACCAAAGCGCCACACGGAGGTTAAAAATACCCGTACAGTATTTATTGAGGTCAACCTGAGGCGGCACTTCGAGGTGAAGGGCTTGTTGACTTTACAGGCGCTCACCTTTAATAGTAGGAGAAGAAGAAGAACGGAGGCGATGGTGGAGGTTTTTCTTTAATTTCAGAAGCAGCCTAATAATCTATTCTGGTGATTTCTGCATCCACAGCTGACCCACATATTTTGTTGCTGCATTTTTCATCCACAGAGAGAGGATGCTATTACCCGTATGTAGATTATTGGAAAGTACAGTCAAGCAATAACTGCATTCGGCGCTGCAGCTACAGCTCAGACCTCAAATAGAAAGCTGACCATGAAATCAATATCGCTGAAGAGGAATGGCCTTGAATCCTCGCAACTATATGAGGAAAAAAAAAGTGTCTGGAGAAATGAAAATTAGAGTTTGAAATATTAATCAAAGTTTACTGAACTCCACCGAACTTCCAAGAAGTGGATCCTAAACACAAGCCAGACTCTCATCCATAAGTTATGAGGGATGTTAAATTTGGAAATCAAGGGATTGTGACCAAAATATGCACCGGGCGTTCCTAATTGACCTCAATCACATCTCTGGGATCTCTTGTTTTCTATGTGTGGAGATAAGTGGATGCTAAGAAGTCCAGCGGTAACGGGTCAGGTTCTGTTTGTAAATCTTCTTTCCTCTTTGCATTTAGAGACAACTCTCTTTTTTTCTGTGATTTGGGACCGCAAAGGCACACGTAGCATATACAAAGAGCTTTTATGTCTGCATCGGCTCCCTTTGTGAGCGTCTAGTGTGTTAAATTAGATAAGTTGGCAGCTCCGGGACAATGGTCCTTTCAGCCACCGAGCGGGCCGGATGGCTGCTAAGCACAACAGGAGATGTGGGACTGTCACATCAATGGGCCACATTTTAATTAATACATTTTCAGTTTGCGACAATGAGCAGCAATCGTCAGATGCATGCAGACGCATCTGGCTCGCAACCAGCAACAGGTAGACGCTGAGAAAGAAGAAGAAAGGATGCAACCAGTTAGTTTTATTCTGACTCAGGAAGCATTTTGTGAGTAAAAAAAGCTACTGCTGACGTATAATTAAGACAAAATAATCTGTTTGTAATCAGAATTCAATCAACTGTTTCTCATAGTTTAATGTTATAAAAGGAAACCAGGTATCTCAAAATAAAATTGCAACTGCAATGTGTGTTAAACCGTCTCATTAAAGCTGCTAGATCCATCCATCCATCATCTCTACACCTTCATCCTCACTAGGGGGGCGGAGTCTATCCCAGCCGACTCAGGGCGAAGGCAGGTTCACCTGGACAGGTAACCAGTCTATCACAGGGCTACACTTAGAGACAGACAACCAAGCACACTCACATTCACACCTACGGACAATTTACAATCACCAATTAACCTCAGCATGTTTCTGGACTGTGGGAGGAAGCCGGAGAACCCGGAGAGAACCCACGCTGCACGGGGAGAACATGGAGACTCCACGTAGAAAGATCCCGGGTGTCCTCACCGGGACGCGAACCGGCGACCTTCTTGCTACGAGGCAACAGTGCTAACCACAGCTCCACCTTGCTGCCCTGCGTTCACATTGTTTAATTCTGACCCAACCATCTGAACGACACAGCCAAAGTCAGACCAAGCAATATCTTTGCAATCATCTGTCTTCTGGGGATGCTAACCGGCGACCTTCTAGCTGCGAGGCGCTAACGATGGTAACCACCGAACCACTGTGCAGCCCCTGCTAGAATCACTATTCTAACAATAATAATCATGGATCAGGTGACGTTTCCAGTGTGTTGAGATGGTTTTATGCTCTACAACTTTCCCTCACTCTCACTTCTTTCATCAGCTGTTGCAGGAAGTTGTTCTCAATGAGTTTCAACTTCTAAAACCACAGTAAGGTACCTGTCCAGCACCAAACAGTAAACAGGAAGTTAGCTGGTGAACACAGCGGCGCACTTAACGGCTAATGAGACGGATATTTCCCTCAGGTGCCGGTGGGAGACAGCGAAGAGGAGAGTTAATTTTGCCAGATGGCCAGAAACATGATTTCATATAAATGCTAATGTTCACAATATCAGCTTTATCACAATAACTCAACAGTCAGCGCAGGAACAGGAGAAGCAGGAGAATGCTGTGGTGGAATCGTAGCTGCACTTTAATTGAGCAGAACTAAAACCCAGTCAGGAGCTAAAGTGCACGCAGCGGGTCACTTATTACCTATAAGAGTGAAATGAGCTAAACCATCCCAACACCACATTAGAGCTACACAGTTAATTGGGAGAGTATTATTATTATTTGAAGTGCGTTACAAAGAAATAAATGATTTGAAATTCTATAATTAGGAAGTAGAGGTAAAGTCCCACGATGCTAACGGCTCAAAGTGTAGGAGAGAGATCGCAAGGACACGGATGAAACGTTCAAGAAAAGCAGCGTACAAATGATGTCGTCTTCAGTGCACTGCTTATATCTAAAACCACATAAAGTCTATGCTTCAAACATCACATGGTTGTTTTTATTGACTGACTGTCCATAACAAACAGGTTTGAGCCCTTTATGGAGCGTAAGCAGAGGAGTTTACCAATGAGAAATACTGATATGTTGCATTTGATGAACCTTTCATCACCGAGAGTGAAAAAGTGGCCTTGAAAGCCGGAGCGTCTAACAAGGTAAGATGATTCACAGCTCGCCAGCGTTTCGCTCTCATCCACAGCGAGAGGCTTGTTTGTAACGCCGCCGCCTTCCATCAGGCCGCTGCCACCGCTGAGTAATGCATGACGGCAAACATAAGTCAGAAAATTGTCATTTGTTTTATTTCTCAGTGTTATTCGTCCATAAGACAGTTTGAGGAGATAATTGGGGTCGTGAGGGACCACGCCTCTGACCCGGACCTCGCTCCCATTAATCAAAACCCCGTCGATGACGATGATGCTGTAAACCAGTCCAGCATCGTGTCTCCGTGTCATGACACCGCCGCAGCCTGCTGGGAGGTTTAATTGGAGCAAACTGAGCTGCAGCAACATATGGCTCTCAGCTTTAGCAGGGGCTGGAGCAGGGAATGGAAATGAACACAGGTTCTGGCTGCGTATCATAGACTCACCAGCCGATACAATCAGCATCATCTACACCCCCGCTATAAGCCTCCAGGTCTGCAGCTGCATCGCGAGCCTGTGAGCCTGGAGGGGGCCAATCTGTCAGACTTTAGTCATAAATATGTGAGGACTATGTGCCATGAAGAATTCTGCTTTTATCTAAATCACGTGATCGGTTGACGGTTGTTTGCACACAAACACGTTTTTCTCAATATGGGAACTGCAGAAATGAGGAAAGTGTCTCATCTGGGATATTACAAGGTAATAACTCAGTAGCGGTGGAGATTTCAGATCTATTATTTAAAGGGAGGTTTGGCACTCTGGGAAATATTAGAGTACTTATCAGCTTTCTGGCTGAGAGTTAGAAAACCGACTCCACTTATGTGCACGTATGTTGTAGCTGAGCACCAAGACGGGAAACAAAGAGAAACAGCAAACAAAGCTCTGTCCAAGGGTAACAGAATCCACCGAGGCTGTTTAATCTGGAGAAAAAAAGGACGACTGCATGGATTTAAACAGAACCAGGTGGACTATTTTCAGTGTCTGTGACCCACGACTCTGTAGCTTCAAGCAGAACTTGTGTTTAAATAGTTTTTATGTCGCTTCCTGGAAATGACTGGAGTCTGACCTATTTACTACTTTTTTTGTGGACTGTTTATTTACTATTTATTTTGAATCACTATTACGTTTACATTTTTACTTTATCATCTTGTCTTGAAGTGGCTGCACGGTGTCTCGGTGGTTAGCACCGTCACCGGTTCACGTCCCGGTGAGGACTCAGGATCTTTCTGTGTGGAGTCTCCATGTTCTCCCCGTGCACCGTGGGTTCTCTCCGGGTTCTCCGGCTTCCTCCCACAGTCCAAAAACATGCTGAGGTTAATTGGTGATTCTAAATTGTCCGTAGGTGTGAATGTGAGTGTGCTTGGTTGTCTGTCTCTAAGTGTAGCCCTGTGATAGACTGGTTACCTGTCCAGGTGAACCTGCCTTCAGTCAGCTGGGATAGACTCCAGCCCCCCATAGTGAGGATTAAGGTGTAAATAGATAATAGATGGATGGATTTTGTCTTGATGTAAACCCCCTTGAGTTGCATTTGCTGTTTGAACTATGATGCACAAATAAAGTTATTCTTATGATTCTTATTATTAATATACTACTCATCTAATTTTTGGCAAGAAATCGAATCAGCTTATTGCCCAAAGAGTCAAATCTTTCTGTGAAGAACTACAGTTTGAAAACACAGGAGCAAAATAAACAAGTTCAATGAATAAAAAAAAGATGCAGAATGTTTGTCATGTCTGAACCGAGCCTCCTGTTTTTTTTACAGGATATGTTTTGCACAGAATCTTCTAGATAAACGTGCTGAGTTAAAGGCGTGCTACTAAACACAACAGAAACACTTCAGCTGATTAAAGTAGACTAGTTCTTTACCGTCGTCCCTCATAATGACAAACACGTTTCTAAAGACAGATTGATATTCCTGTTTGTCCACAACCCTGACTATCGCATTACCGCGTCATTGTGTCCAAATCGCTCCTTCATTGATCCTCATTAGAGCACCTGCTTTGATTGCTGTCAGATAAAACACCGAGATTAGCTCCAATAAGCTGCTTTTTTTTCTCCCCTTCCAACCGATTTTCACATTTCAAAAGACTCGATTCTCGTGAGAAACGGTATCAATAAAAAAAAAGCAAACTTTGGTTTTCTTTTGCTAATTGCACATAAAACGATTTCACGGGTGTCGATGACACATTAGAGCGGTTTGCTTGTTCGGAGGAAATGAAAAGTCGTCTTTTATCTGTTCATCAACGCCGCTGTAGTCGCCACACTGTTACGTGTCGTATTTTTAGTTTCAGACAAATGAAGTCTTAATTATAGAATCTGGAACGTGAACAAACGGGAGCAGCACAGCTTGACTCCACAGTACAATCAGAGCTCTAGCGCTGGATGCAGAACTTTTGCCGAGTACGGAGGCTCACACCAGCTTCAATCACTTTTTCTTTAAGTTTTCTAGACGCCGACTGTTTCAATTTCTTTCCTTCAGAGCACTGCAGGAGTCTCTCACAAGTTTTGACGAGATGCTTCCAAGAATATCACACGACGCTCTCCTTCTGCGCCTCGATTCAGAGGCTCGCTCTCTCTCCACCCAGTAGCAAGAAATGTGCGACGCCGCCGACTCTGCCCCTCACCTGGTGATCTGAAGGTCCAGGCCTCGTCGTCGTCGAAGTGCGTGTCTCCAGCCGTGAACCTCTCTCCGGGGAAAAAGGCGTGCGCCACGGTGCCCCCCGGCCCGTCAAACGGATATCCGTCGTTGTGGTCGGCCTTGGTGAAGTCGATCTGGATGTCGGCGTCGCTGCCGGCCACCTCGTGGAAGTTGAGCGGCGCGATGTCACTCCAGACCTTCAGGGCGTAGTACATCAGGGCCCGAACGGTGTCCCTGCCCAGCAAGGCCGAGTCCTTGGGGAAGGTCCTCACTCTGAGACAAGAGTGTGATGAAGGAAAGAAGAAAGAAACAGAGAGGGATTAGTGAGAGGTAGATTTTAGATGTGAGCAAAAATCAGAGCGCAAAGAAAAAACATACATGTGTGCACGTCTGAGTCTGAATTGTTCACTTAAAACCATTTAAACTGCACTTAATGTCCTGAAACCTACATTGAAGGCATTCTGTGATAGCTTAGATTAACAGATTACTGGAAAACACTTAATAAATAGTACACGACTAGGGTTAAAATGTTCTTTCAGCATGAGATGCATCATTTAAACTAGAGTTCACCACCAATATATTGTGTCACTATTCAGGTAAATTGCTTTAATTGTACTGTTACTGCATATTTAGATAATATAACTTTATTCATAATACGGTTGATTTAAGCTGGAAATAAGGAAAAAAGCACTCTAAGGTGTATTTTCTTGAAAGCTTTTTAGCAAAATAAGCACATTTATTGTGTTCAAAAGCAACCGTTTTAGTTAAACCTAGTGCATTAAAAGTTGTGTTTTTGATATGCATACATGTATTTAAATTTGGATTTTGATGGTTGATATTCTTCTATAAACACAGGCTGTTATTCTACAAGCACAATAAAAGCAAGAAGTATATTTATTGTGTCTCATAAAAGTACATCCATAGCCTGAAACAAGATGGATGGATGGATG